AGAGAGGGAGGCGGCGGCGGAGGGGAGACACGCGCGACAGCGAGGAGAGGCGGGAGGGGAGAGAGGGAGGCGGCGGCGGAGGTGGAGCTCCTTGGCGAGGGACCGCTTCGCATCGTCGGCGCCCTTCGCGGCGGTGTCCTTGCCCCAGTCCGACTTGTTCCACAGCCGCTCGCCGATGAACATCGTCACCGACTTGGAGCAGAGGTCCCAGCCGACGATCGCCGCGGCCGCCGCGAGCGACTTTGTGAAAAAGTACGAGGTGATGGCGGTGACGATGCCGGCGGTGAAGCGCCACCCGATCGCCTTGACCGCCGAGCGCGTCACGCTCTCCTTGACCGCCATCCGGACCTCCGCGCCACGCGCAGCCGCCACAGGCCGAGCCAACGCCACAGGCCGAGCCGCCGGCGCCAAGTGCACAGCAGCCACGTGGGCGAGCGCGGCCGGAGGAGTACGCAGCTGCGGTGCGTACCGCGGCGACGCCACCAGGCCGTCCGCCGTCGCCAGCAGCGCCGCGCCGAGCAGCCAGGAGGAGATCGAGCAACCCATTTTCGGTCGAGCACAGCGCCGGAACGCGGCCGAGATGTGTTTGCGACTTCGAAGATGAGGAGGCTGTGTGAGGATACGGCGCGCTGCAGAGGCGGCGGGCGAGCCGGAGGTGGCGCCATCGCCGGCGCCGCCGCCGGTGTTCAAGACGCTCAGGGAGAAGAAGGCGGCTCAGGCGTCAGCGGAGGGCTGGGCGGCGGAGGTGGCGAGGGCCGAGGAGCTCTACGAGGAGCTGCGCGAGCGCGCGCCCCAGCACTGCCGCCGTGGCGGCAAGTGGGCGCGCGAGAAGTTCGTGATGGCGGTGCAGGGAGAGTTCCCGCGCGCGCGAGGGGCAGGCGTTCCCAAGGGGACGGTCCTGTGCCTCGGCAGGGTGCTCGACGCGCACGATGAGCAGGATGACGCGGAGGGTGGGCACCGGGACTGGGAGGAGGACCCGCTCGGGTTCGACACCAACCCGATGCTGCTCCGCGCCATGTGCATGGCGTTCGAGTGAACGCCGTGCAGGCAGCCTGTGCCCTTTGGTGTACCCCGTTTGTACCGCGTCCTGTGCCCCCGAGTTCATTTAATATAATCCTGTGTGAGGATAACCCTTGCGCGACCGAGACCCTTGCCAAGGGCAACCGAGAAGCAGCGTTCACAGAAAACAAACATCACGCGCTCCACGCTGGCGAGGTACTTCCAGCCTGCTGTGGGAACAGCTGACGCAGTCTCGCCGAGGCTCGCCCCAGCACGGGTTCCCTCGCCCCCCCGAAGGGGGGACCCGTGAGGGGGGACCCGTGACACATCGCCCGCATCGAGTACTCGCCAGCCGCCACGTGTGCCCCGGCGCAGAGAGCACGGCAGCGGCGCCAGTCCAGGTAGAACGAATGTCGCCGGCCTATCGCTCGCTCTTGCTCTCCTGCCTGCTGTTTCTCGCCTCCGCACAGGAGCCGGATCTCTCTTCTCTCATGGGAGGCATGGGCGGCATGGGCGGCATGGGCGGCGGCGACATGGGCGGAATGGGCGACATGATGGGCGGGATGGGCGGGATGGGCGGGATGGGCGGGATGGGCGGGATGGGCGGCGGCCCTCCTCCAAAGCCGGAGCCCCGAATGGAGGATGTGCCGCTGATTCAGTGCGCCGCGTGCAAGGCGACGGTGCGTCGCGCGTTTCACGTCGCCAAGACGCTCCGCGCCGGCGGCAAGGGTGCGTCAAGAGCTGTCGTTTACGCAGCACTCGTCC